ACAATAAAATTTACCCCATGCTATAATCTAAGACAGGGGTTTTCAACCTTTTCACCCATTGTACCACTTTTAGGATATAACAACATCCGAGTACCACCAGTCGCCTAGCAAGGTGTCAAAAACTTGATGACCCCCCCCAAAAAAAGGAAAAAAGTGATGAAGTACAGGTAGTCCTCGACTTATAACAGTTCGCTTAGTGACTGTTCGAAGTTACAATGGCACTGAAAAAAGTGCTCCCAAGCCACAGCCGAGCAAGACACCTGCCTGCCCGCCCGGCCGCGCTCTTCCTCCTGTCCAAGGTTTTCATTGTTGTAAGCATTTCTGTTGAGGATTGGCAGCGGGGGTGGGGTGGGGGGGTGTTTGGTTTTTATTCCCCCTGTCTGCTGGGTGGTTGCAGTAGGTTTTGGTCACTTCACAAGACCCTGGGACACTGTGACCGTCATAAATATGAATCAGTTGCCAAGCATCTGAATGTAAATCACAAGACCCTGGAGATGCTGCAACATTCCAGCTGATCGGCGCTTCTTCTGGGCTCAGCAAAAGCGCCAGGATCAGCGCCGAGCTCCAGCTGGAGCCTGACGTTGATCCTGGCACTTCCGCTGAGCCCTGACAGCCCTGCAGCTCCAGCCATCTGTCGCTCAGGCTTGTGCGGGGCTGCCACTGGTTCAGCTCATTCCCCTCCCCCGCTACCACTTTTCTAGGATGGTCGCGTACCACCTGCCAGGTGCCATTGTACCACAGGTGGTACCCGTACCACTGGTTGAAAAGCCCTGATCTAAGATAAAATAAATACAAAATAGTTTACTGATGATACGTAACACCATTAATAATTGCAAAAATAAATAAAATGAAAATGTCTGAAGCGTCATTATACAAAATGAATATTTCATCATATGATGTAGTCATATAAAAAAATCATAAAAATACTGGAAAGAAGTACAAGCATTTATTCAAAATATTTTAAAAATAAAGTTTGAATTGAAACCTTAGTTTTTTTCTAATTGATTCAGAACAAATAAATTAAAATTATATCAATTTATTAAGAAACCTTTGGATCAGTATTGGAAAAGTTTTTACTGACTTTTCTATCCTTTTTATTTCTGATTTCATTTTTATTTTTCCTTTATGTAACTATCTCCACCTACCTTTGAAATAGTGACAAATAGTTGTAAATATTCTTTCCAATTTTATAAACTTCTAATTATTTCTTAAGATGGCATAATTAACTTGTTTCTATACATTTAATTTTAAATTTTATGATTAAAATGTTTTAGTTTATCTTAGTCCTTGAAATATACTGTGTGTATACTGTACTTTTGTTGTACTATCACAGATTTTTTTTATTAAAGAATGTATAAATGCATGTACCTATATATCATTTTAAAACCCAAATCATTGTCCATTTTTAGCAACACCCTTTCTACAATTTTCTGATGATGGAACCCCCTTCTGTTACTCCAGAGTTGCTCCCAGGTCTCCTTTATAATTTCAGTAGGTGGCAGCACCTGGCTAGACTCAAAAGCTAAGCTGGGTTTGGCCTGGTCAGTACTTGGGTCAGATGTCCATAAATCAATCTGACGATTTTTCTTCTTGCATTTCTTTTCTTACGTCACCTTAGAATTCCACTTGCCCTGATTTGTTCTCACCATATTTTTCACTTCACCATACCATATTAATCTGTAATCAAATTAAACGTATCAAAAATGTCAAACTGTCACTAAGCATATCTCAACTGGGGTAATCCACTGAACAGGAAATGTTGCTATTATTATTGCAGTTAAGGAGGAGCCCATGTCAATAGATAATTATTGCATTACTTTTAGGTACTGACTTCAAGGTGCCCTGAAAATTCTAAAATATAAACATTTAAATCCAAATCTAGATAGAAAATTTAGTTATAGGTCTCTGCATTCTTCCCCTCAGCTACTTTGCATTGTCCAATTAGCCTAACCATAAATGTCTCAGATGCTCAATTTCTCAGATACCTTCTTTCCGCCCCCTCCATAATTCTCATTATAGCATCTAACTACCAGTCCATAGGCTAATCTCTCCTATTCTCTTATTTTACAGGTCTTTCCCCATTCCATTTAATCCTCCCCCTTTTCTCTCTATTTCTGTCACTTCTCATCCTATATCTATTTTTCATTGAGTTTGGTGGCAACTGCACACATTTTAGCTTTCCCTCTTCAGGCTAGTTATAACAGACTGACAAAAAGACATGAATGATACAATTCTTTGAAAAAAGGAGGAGCAAGAGCAAAATGATGCTCTACAATCCCAACTGGATAGCCTCTCCTGACACTTAAGTGAATAGATAGTTGAAGTACAATCAACATACCCTGACCAATGTATCTTGGCAGATTTTTCTTTTTTTAATATTTAGAGGTACACAAAAATCTCTTGTGATGAATAATAAAAACTGACTGAGAAACTGCTTGGATTATTAAGCTTTTATTATTATATCTACTATTATTCTCCAGGATAAAAATAATCATTTGCTATATTACAGTTTACTTAACCATTTCCCAAGAACGTATTTTACCTTTTAGTATAGAAACATTCTTATTGGATTGTTCATACAGTACAAATCTTATTTTCAAATCATTTTGCTCAAGCATTCTGGGGGAGATTCTATTTCATATGAACAGGAATTTACAAGTGTTACTCTAAATGCAATATTTAAATAAAGAGAGCAATTTTAAAAATGAAACATAAAATTAAATATATTCTGTACTTGGGAACTTCATTAATGATCCTACAAAAAGGATCTAAGACTATCTTTTTGTCACAAGGATCTTAGAAGGAAAAAAGGAAGGAGGATTTGATGCTACCTTAATGCCAAAATAAACTGGTTGGAGTAACTAATGTATATAGGGAGGTTTGAGAACTCTTAGGATGTTACAAGATATATACAGAGTTCTATCTGACCTTTGCAGGTTCCATAATTGCTGTAACCTTACCAGAGGATGGTTAAAGGGAAAATCAAATCATCTGGGAAAGGGGATAGCCGATACATACATTTAACAGTGCAGTACAATGACTTACTACTACGTTAAATGCTCTTCTACCCTCAGCTAATTTTCCAGCTACAGAATATTTTTCATCTGATTGCACATGTTAAATTGTAATCGTTCAGTTTAAGTACTCTTGTTCCTGGGGTAATATTAGAGCAGACTACTACATATGCCACCTTGAGCTGAGAAATGACAACATATGGATGCAACATTTTTATAATTCATAAAAATATTTGGGTACTTAAAGATCTTAGTAATCACTGCAGTTGAAAAAGCTTCAAGGTTCTAAATTCTTTTTTTAAATGTATTTTTATCTCATTTTAGTAATGCTTAGTCTTTAGCAGACAGGAAGAATATACTGCTTGCCAAACCTTTTGCTTTCTTTTACTAATTTCTATATAACTATTATAAACATCCATTTAAATGTGCTGGCACTTGTAATCCTTCCTCAGAAGACAAACATATCAATTATAAAACCTTACATGTGAAAGAAGAATCCAGAATATATCATTAACAAAACATATTACTCTATTCCCATTATCACCATGTATTGAGCAAAGCAGCTATAAATATTTTGCAATATTTATTTTCAATAGGTTATCCATAAATGTTATTTACCATATGACAGTGTGAACCTTTTGAAGCTTAAAAATATAATCACTTCATCAAAATAACTGCAATACCTGCTGAGGTGCAGAACATCCTGTCTAACTTTTCTGAGTAGATACCTTTTAATTAAATGTAATAGCCAATTCACTATGTCCTATTTACAAAAACTGCCCCAAACATGTCAGAACAGCAGCCTATATGATATGCTCTGGGACTTGCTTTGGCAGCTACTGCTATAGTTTCTTCATTACTGAAGCATTGTAATTATTTCCTTTCATCTGCCAGGCTTCTTTTTTTAAAGACAAACAGAAAAAGTCTACTTTTAGACCATGTCCAGACACGTAGATGATTCCCCTTTACCTACAGCTAAACTATTCTGCTTCAAACTTTTCAACATGTTTTTATCTCCTCCAACCTAACATATCGACCTAAGCACCCCCATCCAAATATCAAATTAAGTGGTGTTGGCAGCTCAAATAGATGAACAGTCTCAACCCACAGAATTATTAGATGCAAATCTGGGAAAAGATATGTTGGCAATTGTTCTGTCCCACTGCCCTTCAATGTGATTTCAAATGATAATTGACACGCCCAGTAATTTAGCTGAACCACACAATTCTTTCTGGCCCATCATTAGGAAAACACAGTTTCTCTATTGGTTAATCTGATGAGTATTATAAGAGGTGGGGGTACTTGCAGCTCAGTTTTAACAAGAAGAGGTTCTAATACTCTCTAAGCACTCCACAAAGATACCATCAGATTAATTTTCTGGCACCGGCATTTAATATAAAAGCCATAAAACATTCCTTAGCACAATGCAGATTTAATATTTTCCCCTCATTCCACTCTCTCAGAATCTCCCAGTTTTCCCAGCATTTAGTTTCCAAAGCTCTGCTTCAAAACATGTAAAAGAATACTACAGCACTAACCTGGATTATGTTAGAATAAAACTTGACATGTTTGAAAAGGAGTAGTTAAGCAAGCTGTACCCTTGGTAATGGGGATAAGCCACAGCAATCATTCTTGCCTTCAAAACCAGTCTTCAAGTAGAGCATTGTGACTAGAATCTAACCTGATCCTACGTAATGCATGTAGTACAGATAGTTCTCTCACACATTCTCTGCAGTAGTCAGGCAGAGATGCTAGCTGCTATATAGATGGTCCGGTGACCTTTGAAAGCTTGGACACAAGGAACCGATCTATTGCAGCTGGCTTTCAAGGCATTCCTCACATTCCTGCCCTATCTAAAAGCTCCAAGAACAAGAGTCCCCCCCCCCAACCAATTAAACTCACAGGCACACACACCTGCCTCTTAATCTGTCCAGAGCACCAACAGCTTCCATCCACACACACACACACACACACACACACACACACACAGCTGTGTTATATACTCCTCAAATATGTAGCCAGAAGTAGGTTGGCCCCTTGCTCATTTTGTCTTCTCCCTACAGAGCAACTGCAGAGGGGCAGTAGTTGAGGTCTCCTGAGAGAAGACACACTAAAAGCTCTCCATGGATTTGCTCCCCCAACCCGGTTGCAAGTAGCTCTAACAAGCAAATGAGAGAAAATGCAAGACTGGGCAAGGTTGGGTGAGGAGAGGCTCAGCAGGTTAAGAGAGAAGGAATCAGAGGGCCAAAAAGGGGGGAAACTTGCTAATAGGGAATCAAGAGGACTGGAATCAGCCTTTTTAAGAAAGAAAAAGACTAAAGAAGCAGAAAATTTCTACAGTGGCAACCTGGGAGAAGACAGAGATGAAGGAAGGAGCAAAGACTGTAACCATTTAAGACGTACAACTAGCCAGGGAAAAACTGAAAGGGTTTATGTAGTAACATGGTAGGTTTAAGAAATGAAAAAACTAGAGAAGAAACTAACAGAATGCAACATTTGTAAGATAGTGAACATTTTCACAGAAATATATTCATTTTAATTCAAGGACAAAGCTAAAAAGGGGAGCAATGCATTTAAGATATTGTTCACTGGGTGAAGGACACTGGGTAAGCCTCGCTTAAAGAGAAGGGACAGTAATCTTTAGAAGAGAGAATAATACTATATAAAAATGTAGTTTTTAAGGAAGCAGCTTTTGACGATTCTGAGGAACAGCGTTTAAAGAGGAAAGATAGAAAAGGCTAAGTAAAATGGCTAAGTAAAAGCTAGGAGAAAGGTATTTTATGGCACTCAAATATGCAAGGGCAAAGGAGACAAGGAATAAAGACTGGGAAATCTGCATAAAGCAAGTTGATAAATAAAAAAGGGAGAATATAGGTGGAGCCCCTTTACAGAAAGAAACAGACAGGGAAAAGACAGAAATACAAATATTTAGAGTGCAAAGCAGATTTTTCTTTTTTACCACACAAGCAAAAAGATCTTGAGAGGATGCCTACTGTATGAGGAATAAAAAAAAAAGGGGGGGGGACCCTAAGCAGCAACCGCGAGAGGGACTGAACAGAGAAGGAAGGCACAGGCGAGCAAGGAAAAGGTGGTGACTAAAGAAAAAAGAAGTAATGTGCTTATTAGAGGGGGCACTATTATTGGAGTTGGACAAGTTTCTTTAAAAAGTGGGGGGGGGACAGAAATCTGAGAGAAGCAGCGTAAGGCGGGAAGGAAAAGTTAGCAGGAGACGAGAGGAGCGAGCTAATCCATCGAAGCAGGAGGAAGTGGAGGGGCAGGTAAGCAAGGAAGAGCGGCGGGGACCGAACGAGGAAGGCTAGGATCAAAAAAAGAAGCGCTGACTTCCACCTCCTCAGCGGGATCTCCGGTAGGCCGTTCCCTCCGTGCCCCGCTGCTCTTCGCCCACCGCAGCTCTCGGGTGCGGAGCTATCGGCTTCTCTCCCCGCTCCGGGAAAGAAGCCGGGAAGGGTCACTCACCGCGTAGACTGAGCCAGGAGCCCCTCCCCCGCAGGCGCTGGGTCTTCGTGGGCGCAGAGGGGCCGCGACCACCCCGCCGGGAAGGGCCCTACCCCGGGGTGTCCATGGTAGTGAGACTAACGTGCCACAGCCGAGCAGCACAAATCCTTCCTCCACCTCCCTCGCAGGCTCTCCTCCCGCTTCTTCCCGCCCCTCGCACCCCCGCTTCTCCTCGTTAGACGTCAACAAGGCGCCCTGCCCTATGCCTCGCTCAGATTGGCGGAGGGCGGGTCAGCTCAGATCCCGATTGGCCGCGGCCTCGTGTTAAACTGGCCAATGGCTCCCGCACCTGCGGTTGCTAAGGTTACCGATGCTGTGAAGAGACCGGCCGAGGGCTAGGGAGCTGCAGTTCCTTCAGGCGAGGCGGTGTATTTGCGTCTTTCGGGGGCGGGAGGGCGGGGGGGGGGGTTGTCGTGTGTTTGTATGTACGTGTGTATGCGAGGGACTAATATGTGGGAAAGAGATGGAATGGAGGAACGGGCAAAATGGCTATACGGTATAGGAAGGGAGGATTCTAGAAGCACTTGGGAGAAAAACTTGATTTAGCGCATCTATGTCCTAAGTAAACCCCACTGGTTTTAGTGAGATTTGCTTTTAGAAATAATGCCAGTGGAATTACAGTGTTATCTTTTTATTTTTATCTTTCTCTTGTTTGCTCATGCAAATTCTAGCTTCCAGAAATATTTTTTAAAGCTAGTCACATTCCCTCCTAATTGTTATGGGGGGAAAGGGGGGGAGGTGAGATGTTATCATAGGGCACTAAACTTAGTTTTCTGGGGTTCCCTTAATTACTAAAATTTGTATGGCTGCTTTTCAACAAATGTGCAATGAATGTTTACTGCAACAACTTCATCACTTTTTATTCTTAGTTGGCAATATCCTAATAAAACAGCTTTGCCATCTTAGATTTGAACCTTTTAATATATATTGAAATTAGTTTAATTATTGCTGTGGAGTTAAAAGATGTTATTTTGAATACATGTATTACAAGATAAATATATGGATACAATAAATTATTACTTTATCTGGGTACTGACTCTTAAACAACATATTCCTGAAACATTCTGTTGCATATGGATCAACTCCCAAGTGCAGATTTTTAGCATATTGAATCTTTTATTTCTGACTATATTGCAATCATTGCTAAAAGCTAATTATTAAGTGGGCAGCTGTATGTAACAGTTACAGTGTATGTGTGAAAGATAATTGCATATGTGAATACTTAATAGGTCATCTAAGATGTTGGAACAGTATTTCACATGGTGCTTGCTAATAAGAGATCTTCAGTTTATAAGAATATTGGCGTGTGATAGGACAATTCGTGATTAAACTAGCACTGCATTTCTACTCCTTAATGTTCCTGATAATTATGAAGCAAGATTTTAAATGTTTCTGAATGTGTGGAGTTGCAGCTGTTTTACATACATTATAGTTATATCCATTCTGAGATCAATAAACTTTCACAAGTTTTTTTTTAAAAAAAACAAACAAACCAACAACATGGGGAGGGGGTGCTTGTGTAAAAATGAGTAAGAATGAGGACACTTTGTGTTTATAGCAAAAGTTTCAGTTAGCATTTCTACCCTTCCTTTGCACATAGTAATTATTTATTTTATTTATATGCCACTGCGATATGATTGTCAGCTTCCGTGCAGTAAAATTTAAAGGATCCCTAATGTGATCAAAAGATAACAATAAAAGCCAAAAAGTAAAATCAATAATGTGAAAACAAAAGTAAAGAAATAAAAGGTGGCATGGTTCTTACATGAAAATAGAAAATGCCCTTTCCAATCTATTTTTGAAATCTTCCCGAAGATCAACAAGAAGGATGCTGACCTGACCTCCATTAGGAATCATCAGTGTTGTCACAGAAAAGCAAAATCCTCTAACTTCAGCCCTTCTCACCTTTCGGAAGTGTGAGATCAGAAGTGGGTCAGATTGATTCCAGCTACAATAGGCAGTCCTGCGGGTACCCAGTGTCAAGCTATAAAAACCTTTATAAATCAATACAAGCACCTTAGATTGTACCTGGAAACTAATTGGCAAACAATGCAGGGCCAGCAGAATCAATATTAAATATTTTCAGCTGTGAGAGCGAGTGAGTTCATAGGCTGCTGCATTCTGGACTAGTTGCATTTACTGAGTAGTAAATGCGATTAAAGGGCTATTCAGAACTATGCCACAGATTAGGGCTCTGCAAAGTAGCCATGAAGACCTTGAAAAAGATATTCAAGTGCCCCGATCTACACTATATGAATCATAGTGATACTCTATGGCAGTGAAAATTGGACGTCAAAGAAGAAAGATAGGAAGAGTATTGATGACTTTGAACTTTGGTGTTGGAGAAGATTTGAGAATATCATGGACAATCAAGAAAACAAACTGAGGGATCATTGAACAAATCAATTCAGACTTGTCACTCAAGGCATAAATGAGCAGGCTCAAATTATCCTACTTGCGACACATTTTGCAAAGATTCAACTCTCTGGAAAAGATTCTAGTGGTGGAAAATGTAAAGGGAAAGAGAAGAGGATGATCAGAAGCAAGGTGGATAGATTCAGTTACACTGGTGAATGTCTACCTGGTTGAGAGACTTGAAGGAACAGGTTAAGGATAAATCATGGAGAAAAATCTAGCTATGTGGTCATTAGGCACACTAACTTGATGGCACACTATCTTTTAAAGGAGCAGCCCTATGTAAAGTGTGCTGTAGTAGTCCAGCTTAATAGTAATGAGGGCATATGTTATTGGAGCTAGTTCCTCCGATATTGTGGTGTTATATTTCACACAGCATTAAAGGCTTTCCAGCCATGGCCTCTACCAGCTGTTCAGGCAGGAGTCATGAGTCCAGAAAAATCCCCAAATGCTCTTTTGCCCATCTGGAGATGATGCTGCTGTCATCAGAAAAATCTAATGTACAAACAATAATTCTGTCTAACCTGGGTTCCACTTCAGTCTGTTTTTACCCCTCCTGGCCCTTACAGCCTCCAGACACCAGGACAGGACATCAACAGCACAATCTGCAGGGGTGGTATAAAGTTGGGTATCATTAGTGGGCTGATAACCTCTCCCAGCATTTTTATTATAGGATTTCTTTTATCCTGCCTTTATTATTATTTTTTTTTAAAAAAATAATAACTCTAGGTGGCGAACATACCTAATACTTCTTCCTCTTCCTGTTTTCCCCACAACAATAACCCTGTGAGATAAGTTGGGCTTGAGAGCAAATGACTGGTCCAGATCAGCTTCTGTGCTTAAGGTGGGACTAGAACTCAGTTTCCTGGTTTGAAGCCTAGCGCTCTAACCACTAGACCAAACTGGCTCTCTATTCATTCTGTTCTGTTTTGTGTAGCTGCTAAAAACGCAAGGGAAAGAGAATCAAATCCTGCAGCATCCCACATTGCAGAATCCCAAATTGAAACAGACTGAAACAACCCACTGAGGAAGGGTGGAACTACTTCAAAACAATGGTTCCAATCCTCAGCCCCTCAACAGTTTGCCTCCAGAAATCGTGGGCGCTCCATCACTGGAGATTTTTAAGAAGAGGCTAGACAGTCCCTTGTCTGAGAAGGTATAGGTTCTCCTGCTTAAGCAGGGGGGGGGGTCTGGACTAAAAGACCTCCATGGTCCCTTCCAGCTCTATTCTATTATTATTATTATTATTATTATTATTATTATTATTATTATTATTGTTATGGATCATTGCACAGTCAGCCAGATGTTCAGACTGGATTTGGCATTTTGTCTACCTATCGAGTCTTTACCCAGGACCTGGGATAGGCAGAAGTGGATGTTTGATGGTATTACAGATATCGTCACAGGATGGAAGCAGTTCCTAGTAAAGCCGCCTTTTGCAATTGACTAATAGCGAATTTGTCAATGCCAATGGTATTCAAGTGGTGCTCCAATTGTTTTGGGATTGCACCCAAGGAGCCTATCACTATTGGTACAGGCTCCTTGGGTGCAATCAATATTGTTATTATTGTTATTATTGTTATTATTGTTATTGTTATTATAACATGGTCCATTAAGATACCATAATTCATGGTATTGAAAGCCACTTAAAAGGTGTAATGCAGGCATGTCAAACTGCTGGCCCATGGGCCAGATGTGTCATACCGAAACCGCGCCCACCCCATTGCCGCGTCACGTGATGTCACGAGTTTGACATGCCTGGTCTAATGTGATGGACTGTCTAACAGATCCTGAGAAACAGGACTATGGGGCACTCTAGGAATGGAGGCGGTTGGTGCAGTGACAGAGAAGGCACTATCTCCGCATCGCTTCAACCCCTAGTTTTTAGTCTGTACTTAACTTTTGTTATTTTCATATTAATACTTTAATTGTAATAAATCACCCAGATTTGCTTGGGATAGCGAGATGCATGGTATATAAATTTAATAAAGATGTTTGAGTCCAGGAGAAGGGGAAAACATCAGAAAGAGACTCCCATCTTAATTACGTTAAGAATAAGTTAAGGTGGAGAATTCCTTTGTAGGCTTTCAAGATTCTTTACATTACCATAAAAGGAATCAAGACTTTTGCAGAAGTCCAAGCGGGTCTTGTTTCTTGAGTTTGCCTGCCTTGTAGAGCTTCACAAACAGAAGCACAAAGGAAGCACTTTCCCCAATTAAGTCTTGGCACTAATCATCCAAGAGAACAATCAATGCATTCAATGTCCTGCATCCAGATATGAACCCTATTGGAGAAGGGCACAAATCATCTGCTTATTCTAAGTTGTCTACACTTCTTTCTGAATAATCATACCTAAGTAAGAGAGGTTAGTGATTGGACAATGGTTATCTAAAATCCCTGAGATGAACATTTCAGAAGATAATGTACTACTGCCTC